CACAAAAACATTATACCCTGATTTCCCATTTTCAATGGGTTCAGGGTATAAAAAGAATACAAATAAAAATTTCAAAGGACTCAAGGTATTTGAAAATGTATCAATAAATACCCAATCCGCTTATACACACTAAAATTTGAAAAGATTCCAAATAGATAAACGATGTAAGGTCTGCTTCTCTTGCAGCTTTTGAGAATTTAATTCGATCACATTGACAGGCTGTCGCACACGCCCAGCATACAGCACCCTCGTCATTATAGTTGTTTGATATTACGCCACAGGTCTTATCTTTAGTAATGGAGCACAGAACACCGTTCAAAACACCTAAAACGCAACAGTAAATAATCTTTAGTATTTTCCATAATAAATACACCCATGTAAGGAGAATATCCTTAAGCCACACTATGCGAATAGACTTACCAGTTAAATTCATATCAGGCCTTATACACTTATCTACCTCCGATTCAGATCCCGAGTCATATTCCCTCTGTACGGCCTTCGTAGAATCCTTTTGTGGTACTGTGAATTTAAAAAGGTCTTTGGGTGGCCTACAATTGTGAATATTGACTACACAATCAAAACATTTGTTATGTTGACCATTAACATCTGTAAGGTTCAGTTTTCAGTGACTCGCAATATAGTTGGTTATATATATAAATATATGAAGGAATATGACGCGTAGAACTTAACTTACTGATCATTAAACTGAACAGCACATAGCCAAAACTAATGTTAAAAAACATATTTGAAGTTTTGGTATTTATTATTCGAATTATCTGGAGCAACGAAAACAACTTTTTAATGACAGATGACAGTTATATGCATATACATATATACTTTTTATTATTATTTTTTCATTTTCCATAATTATTACAGTTTATTGAATTATGAAACGCTTCAGTTTTCTTAAAATTAATTAATGCGAAATTTATATATTGTACAGATATAAAAGTCAATCATGGGGCTAAGATATTTAATGGTGCCAAATGCAGATTTATGTATCTGAAGAAATTACTTCAATATTACAAAATGGAATCGAGTATAGCTTTTGTGCTTAGCGAAGGTAGCTGTGCATATATATTTATCGAAATATTGATTTCACAACAAATTAATCATAAATTATAAGTAAAAGATAAAATATACAAAAGCAGACAAATTGTATGATTGTATGATGATTCGCGATCTGCTGAATTTGTGTGAATGCTACAAAGGCAATACTTGAAACATTGCTGGCAGGCAATATGATGGAAATGATGTATGTTAACATAATCCTTGCTGGCGACAGTCTGACATCCAAAATATGGGGCCCAGAAGCAAATGAATGTGTCTATTTCATCTGCAGTATAACCATATAAAATTCAGACTTTCATTAATATTGGTATTGAGTATTTTTATACCCTGAACCCATTGAAAATGGAAAATCAGGGTATAATAGTTTTGTTTAAATGTATGTAACAGGCAGAAGGGGCGTGGCAGACCCCACAAAGTATATATATTCTTGATCAGCACGACGAGCTGA